CACAATGTCCCAGAGAACCCATTCCCAGTTATTATATCCTAGAGAAACTCAGAGACAAATAGCTTTACTGTAAAAATGTTATAACAATATTTGAATACATGAATGACATTTTTGGTTATCATTGTATTTATTTTCTATTTTAAACTGTAATTTTATAATGATTTTGAGTCAGATGATTAAGTGATTTATGTACATATTAATATGACAATTCAACAGCAACTGCATATTGTGCTCACATTCTTTTACTGTATTCTTGACTAATATCCTTTGATAGGTGCACTTATTTTGATATACACTTATCAAGATATTCATATATCATTTATACAAACTTGAAAAAATAAAACCAAATAAGTCCATTGGCAAAACGCGAATCCGATATAAGCATTTTTCCCGTTAATACAGATGAGTCTTAGCAAATCATGAACACAGTGGGATTTCCGAGCACGTTTACTTACTGACACGAATGCATCTGGGAGGAGGGGACCAGTCATTCTCGGTACATGTCACTGTGGTCTGCTCCTCCGGAAGGCTGTAGCCACGATAGCAGGTGACTTGCACAGATTCACCTTGTAGATATTTTCTTTTGTTCCTTGGTTTACGTCCATTCTCCACATAATGAAGAGTACATTGTCCTAAGGACCATAAAAATGATAAATTTAAAAAAATGAAAAACATTAATATTGCGAACATAGTAGATTAAAAATGGCCTTTACAATATCTAAGTAAGAATGCACAAACATCCCAAAATAACATATAATGAGAAAGATTAAAGGGACTACCAGATGAAGTGTTTTTAAAAAAGAAAAAATCAGTATTCAATATTATAGAGCCTTAGTTTTTATAATTAAAATATGTATGAATGACATAGGTATTCTTGTAAAGTCTCTACCTCAATTTCTTATAGGATTTTGAAGAAGAGCTCCTCGTGAAAAAAAATTCTGCAACAACTGTCTGGGTCTTTTTGCTCATCCACCACTTCCCTGGCCCTAATTTTGTCATACAAGGCTTAATTGTGATCACTTATGTGTTCTCTCTCCACCCTTTGGACGTTTTATACATGTATAATCGTAAAGAGGTTTACTTACTGCGACATGGTACCGCTGGGGACCATCCTTCTTGTGTGCAATAAATAGTATCCCAGTAGCTTCCTGAAGATGTCACAAAATTGTGATCACAGTGATAATAAAAAGACTTTCCTACAGGCACTGGAAAGTATGGTCTATATCTATCTTCATTATATAGGCTTCCGTGTTTTATTTGCAGAAAATCACAAGGTTTAACTTGCAATAAAAAGCAAAAACAGTATAAATAATGTTTTCTCTTAAAAAAAATAATATTAGAGATGAATTGTTTAATCAATGAATTATATTCTCTTAGCATAATTACACTTATTCCCTTAGGGTAAAAAATCACATTAGAGATGAATTGTTTAATCAATGAATTATATTCTCTTAGCATAATTACACTTATTCCCTTAGGGTTTCTAGGATGAGAAAAATTATAGAACTCAGATGACTGAGGTATGTGAGGAGGTCTCTGCTAGTGAAGATGTCTTGTGGGTCACATGATACAAAAGCTTGCACGAAAATTCTCCAGGAGGAAGATTGTCAGACCTTTAACGATATTTTCTGAGTGCACATATCCTAGCCCTGGTTGATGAAATGAGCTTCCTGGTTGAGAGACAAAGGTGTTGATTTTACTGCTCAGCTCATATTTCCTTTTCTTTCTTTTTCGTTCTCATCCGAAATCAGAGCCCTGCTTTTCTATTCAGTCCAACGCAATGTAGTGAGATGCATTCTTCTGTTTTTGTTTTGTTTTAGATTAAATTATTATTAGGCTTTTTTCCTTCTACTTACTGGGGACAGCATAGGAAACAGAGAACTAAATTTTCCTTCGATTTGACTATACCACACAGAAAAATAACATTGTTAATTAACGTCTCAAACTAGTCATTGAGGAAAGTTTTTCATTCTTTATTTAACCACAGAAATGGAGCAGAAATATTTTTAGTATTCTAGGTATATTTTATTTATTAATTAAAATTAATTGTATTTTGTAAGTTTAAGGTATACAACATGATACTATAAGATACATATATATAGTAAAATGGTTACTATAGTGGAACAACTTAACATAGTCATCTCACTTGAGAACTATAGTTAATAATAGTGTATCATGTTTAGGATTTTTGCTAAATAAACAGGTTGTAGATAATTGACACAAGGCCAAAAACAGGGTAACTAAAAAAATATTTCTTAATATTCAAATAGCTAAGATTATAATAAACATTTATTTCTATTTTAATTGAAAAAAGGAGTTTTTTAATGTGTCTAAAATATTTTCAAGTTAAATACAATATAATTACATTTGACTGAATTATTCTTAGATAGAGAACTATTTTGAGAGATATGTTTAAGTGGTATTTTGTTTATTATATTAACAGGTTTATATACAACATTTCTCAGAAAATTTGCTCTTTTTATGAGATTACCTAGAGATAATCTAGTACTTTTAATACCAAAATAGTACTAGTGTTTTTTCAAGAAATGCAATTCTATTTTAAGAAACCTTATGTAACATGTTAAAAAGAATCCCAACACATGCAAACACACACCCAATATCCCTTATTGTCTTCATCTTCCTTAAATTCACTGATTCACTTTTTTACTTGATTAGAGAAATACTTAAATTAGTTTCTACACACTCATTATGTGAATTAAAAAATTTGAATCCTTTTTATTCTATATATGTTTCTTTAACAAAGAATAGTGAATGATCAGTCTCTAGGGGTAGTTTCTTGGCCTATGATCCATATATCATAATTCATAGATTTTATTCCTCACTTTCATGAAGCATCCAATTTTGAAATTAAAATGTTCGTTTTGTCTCATTCCTTTTAGGTAACATTCAATATTTGTCCGCACCATGTTGTAAAACTTTGGAATATTTTTTACTTACCTTTGGATTTTACAAATTTCATCAGGTTGGGTATCATTTATAAATAATTCTGCCTCAGGCAAGTTTGAGCCTGAATTTGAAGAAACTGAGTTTTAACTTAATTAAATTTCCCATTAAATTGTAAAGCGCAGACTTGAAACCTAGTGGTCGATTTTAGAATCAGCGTGGTTATCTACCTCATTATGGTGTTTCACAGAGTATCAACAAAATAAAACAGTCCACTGAGATTTCTTTTCAAAAGCTACAAAAAGGAGGCATTATTGAAAG